TGTCAATCATCCGGCATCTCCAGAGGCTGTGTAGGCCTATCAGCATGAATAAATCATAAGGAATGTTTATTTCGGTGGGGACGTATAGAAAGCGAATACTATGGTCTGTAAAGTCTATGTCCTTCTTAAAAGTTCGTTGAAGGACATCCCAGAAGAAAACTGCATCTGTACAGTAGATAAAGCAATGTTCTATGGTTTCTGGTCGGTGGCATAAACGACAATCAACCGACCACGGTACGAAAAAACCACGCTCTTGGAGCCACCATTTTACTGGAAGCGTTGATGTGTGCAACTTAAAGAAAAATGTTTTAGCACTCGGAGATACGCACATTCGTTTCACTCGTTTTAAAACATCGCGTCCTTCACAATCGCTAAACCGTGTTCTGTATAGGGGAATAGGAAAGACACTTTCAATTAGGGCTTGTGATAGTCTTCTTCTTGATACCTCAAAAAGGAATTCTAGCGAGAAGCGGACTTTTAGAAACATGAAGGTATCGACTATCTCTTTCCAAAACCCCCCGAGTTTGCCTGGGGTAGAATTTGTTGTTGAAATGATCATGAAGGGCAAGTGATGTGCTAGTTTTCTTTGAACTACGGTAAGCAGAAAAGGATGGGATAAATGCCTAAAGAAAAATAGTCGCGAAACGAGCTGTCGAATGAATAAATGTGCCAGACCTAAGCCGCCAGTTTCCAACGAAAGGAATAAGTTGTCACGCTTCATCCGTTCCCAAGATGAGCTCCAGATGAAGGTCACAAAAATTCTGTGGAAAGCTTGTACTTTTGAACGGCTACAATGTAATACTTGTAAGGCATACATTAGTTTGGACATTAAAAAAATGTTACACGCTGCTGCTTTTGCGAAAATGGAAAGATCTCGCGCCCTCCATGAAATGATTTTCGTTTGATCTCAGTTACAACAGAATTCCAGTATAGATTATTGGATCTTGTTTGATCTAGTGGAACGCCAAGATATTTGAATGGACAACAATTCCACGACAACCCAGCAAAACGTCCTGGCATAGTTGCCCACTCCCCTATCCAGAAGCCATTAGATTTTTCGGCATTCAACCTCGCTCCAGTTAGTTCGCAATACTTTTCTGTTACATGAAGGGCTTTTTCCACACTTTCCTTATTCGAACAGAACAAGGCCACGTCATCAGCATACGCCAGTAACTTTACCTCAGTGAAGCAAAGTGTATAGCCACGGATATTATGATTCGTAATAATGCTCATGCATAGAGGCTCAAGGTATAAAGCAAAAAGAAGCGGGGATAATGGGCAACCTTGCCTAACTGAAGATTTAATATGGATGGAATCGGAAAGAGAGTTGTTTACAATTAGCCTCGTGCTGCTATTTTTATAACAGAGCCGAATGCCCTCTAGAAGCATGGTCCCTACGTTTGCGTGAGAAAGTAGTTTGAATAAAAATGAATGGCTTACTCTATCAAAAGCTTTGGACAAGTCAAGTTGAACTATAGCTACTTGATCTTGCTCATCGGATACAGAGTCAATCACAGATCTCGCTACGTGAATATTTGTTTGAATGTTTCGTTCTCGTATACCACAAGTTTGATGTTCTCCAATTTGATTATGTATTACGATGTGTAAGCGCTCGTTTAAAACTTTTGCGAAGATTTTATAATCCACATTACAAAGTGATATGGGTCTATAAGCTTCGACCTTTCTTAAAGCTAATGTGTCTTCTGTTTTGAGAATTAGTACAGTGTGGCCATGATAAAAGGTTGGTGGTAGTGTTTGGTGCTCATATGAAGCTTTAAGGACATCAAGTAGTAATGGACTCAACAGATCAGAAAATTTCCTGTAGAATTCAGCACTTAAGCCATCAGGTCCAGGTGTCTTGTTTGAAGGAAGAGCTTTTATGACACTTTGAATTTCCTGCAAGGTCAGAGAACCATCGACTATTTGTTTTTCCTCGTCTGATAAGGAGGGCACGAGGCGAACTAGCTCTTCTATATCTGTACTTTCTTCGATTGGAATACTCTTCCCAAAAAGACTAGTGTAATAGTCGACAAAGGCTTCTGAAATATTTGGTGTATCTATTCTTGTACTATCTTTATGTTCAATTTCAACTATTTCTTTTGTTAAAGCATACTTTCGCTCATCCTCTAAGGACCTCCGTCCGGGCGTCTCTCCGAGTAGAAATTTTTGTGAGCGCGATCGAATCACTGCGCCTCGATGCTTCTCAGCATCGTATCGCTGGAGCTGTGTTTTAGTCATGTTTATTTCTTCTGTGTATTCACCGGGTTTCTTACTTTCAAGCTCATAAAGCGTTGACAGCATATTAAAGAGAGTCTTTAGTTCTCGCCTTTTTTCAAATGTGATAGTGCTGGCGCGTTCGATTGCCCAATTTTTAACGTCTTGTTTGAACATGTCCCATTTGCAAAATATGTGTAGTGAGGGTATCTGTTGCACTCGTAAAAGGATTTCTGGGATACGGTCAGTAAATATTTCGTCATCTAGAAGAGTTGTGTTTAGTTTCCATAGGCGCCATTCAGGACGTACTGAATGCCGTTTCTTTTCACCAAGGATAGCTGAGACGAGACAGTGGTCTGAGAAAAATACAGGTTTCACTGTGTAATCTGATATAGCCTCATAGAGTTCTCCAGAAATGTATATTCGATCCAGTCGTGCGTGAGAGGAGCGTTGAAAATGTGTGTAATGAAATCTGCTGCCTTTGTGTTCTCCAATGTCAGCTAAGTTGTTTTCGTTAACAAGGGACTGTAGTAACGCTGCACTAGGGTCAAATCTGGCCGTGAATTGGGAACGATCATTAAAATTTAACACACAGTTGAAATCTCCAAGTAGCAGTAATTTTCTATCGGTGCTAAAGTATGGTTCTATAAGTAAAAAGAAGTCATTACGTGCATTCACAGCGTTGGGAGCGTAAACACACATTATGCGCCATTCGCCATTGCCATAAGTAAGATCGCACGCGATGAAGCGCCCCTCCCGATCGGTGGTGAGAGCTTTAGCAGTCAGACCCGTTCCTTGTTTTAGAAACAAAAAACACCCAGCCGAGGTGCCCGTTGCGTGGGTGACACATACTTCGAAATCATTCAGAAAAGGTTTCAAAGCGATCTCGGTTTCTTCCTCGCCGGATAATTTTGTTTCTTGTACTGCTAACACGTCTACCTGTTGTAGGGACATGAGCTGAAGAAGCTGACACTGCTTTCGCTTAGAGTTAAGACCTCTCACATTTAAGGTAGCTACACGGAGCTGAGGGGCGCTGGACATGCAATCGCTTATGGTTGAGCGTTATCGCTCACTGGGGTGTCTTCGACAAGCTTAGGGCCAGAAAGTGGCTTCGAATACGGCTTGTGCCGCGTTCCAGCTTGTCGTCTGTCGGACAGTTTTGATCTAGTTAAAGGGCCGTCATTCAATTTCGCGTTTGTAAGGGCTTCAATTGTGAGTATGGGATCGGCTGCATCGTCAGTTTCTTGTGTTGAGTTACCTTCATCCTCAACCTCGGTGGTGGTTGTTTTCCGTTGGTCGTCCGTGAGAGTCTCTCTGTGCTCCGGTGTCTGAGAAATGTTCAGTGTACTTTTTGGGTTGGTCGGGGGGCTGGCGGGATGTTCTGTACACGCATCGGGAGAGGGGAGGCTTCCTTCTGGCTGTTCTGGCGGGAGTGGCTGAAGTGTAGGGTCTGGAGGCTCAGTCATCATGGGGATATCCCCACTTGGTTCAACCACCTCGCTTGCATCCATCAGGTGTTCTGTGGCTGACTCGTTCACTGTCCCGATCTTCAGCCTGTCGTCGTAGGTGAGGACGCAGTCAGCGAGGCTGTGTCCGTACCTTTGGCACTTCGTGCACCTCGGAGTCTGACATTGACGGCGGATGTGGCCCACGCGGTTCCATCGCAGGCACAGGGGAGGCCGACCGGGGATCAGTAGCAAGCTCTGGCACCCGTAGATAGTCAGTAGGTGAGGGATCTTGCTCACGCTTATGTCGTCTCGGAGCGTCAGCTGCACCTCTCTGTTGAGAGTGTCCATTCCTTCCATTCCTTCGCATTTCCATTTTTCTCGTACGATAGAGCGCACGGTACCGAAAGGTTCCAGTGCTTCAACGACTCTGCGGTTTTCCATGTGGGGGGGTAGCCACAAAAGCCTGAGCTTCACTTCTTTTGACTCTGGGTCAACAACGAGGCATTTTTTGCCTTTCACTTTCAGCTCTTCGCAGGAGACGAGCTTGGATTTCGCGAGTGAAGTCGCACACACAACCATCCAGACATGCGACATTTGGTATTGTCCCATGGCGATGATGTCCTTTCGGTCAATGACGCCACTCAGAGCGTCGTGAAAGTCCGAAGCTCGGTAGGGTCGAGCGGCGAGATCTCCATGCAGGAACACTGAATTCAGAACGAGGTTACCTGTAGGCAGGCGTGGCATCAGCACTCGGTAGTCATTCATCGGAGTAACGGTAGCAGTTGCAGCAGTAGACGGATTACCTCGGCCAGAGGCCGATGTGTTTTCTTGGGCGGAGAACATGAAAACGCAGCCGTTCGAAACGGCGTCTTCTTCTTTCTCCACGGCCACCGATCCCCCGTTTGTGTTGTCTGAAACGTTTCTGCTGCTTTTCTGCCACACGGGGTTGAGCGCCTCGTCCAGCTGCAAGCCATGCAGCTTGACGTTTGAGCATTACATGCCCCAACTCCCACCTTTGTATATAAAGAAAAATAAATATATTATAAACGCAATTGACGCTGCACCTCTTTGCTCTGAAGGCATAATTTTCGTCTTGGTACTAAATCTCCGCTCATAATGCACTTCGCTGAAATGTCTTCCAGCCTCCAGCATTCGTTCCATTTTTCTGCTGGCTGATGTAACCAGGAGTAGAAGCCAGGAGACAGTCTTGTCTTCTTTCGCTCTAGCCTCTCAGACTGTCTTGTCTGAAATGAAGATTACAGTCCACTCCGATACAATAAACTGAACGAAACTGAACTAACTGATGATGCACCTCTGCTTGGGTTTACGTGTGTGCAGGGTGCTGGGCGACGACGAGAAGCGTCCGTTCATGGAGGAGGCCGAGCGACTACGATGCAAGCACAAGAAGGACCACCCAGACTACAAGTACCAGCCCCGGAGGAGGAAAGGCGGCAAGGGCTTCGAGCCTTCCGCGGCGCCAGCCCCGGCCGCCGGCAAGGGCCGGACGGCCGGCAGAGCGTCGGCCACCGCCACCGGCACCCAGCACGGACACGCAGTATCCGCAGGCTCCAGGTTGGTGGTTCGACGAAGTCCTTAAAGGGACACTGGCAGGGCACTTATGCTCGCCGAGGAGTTTATTTGTACACGACGTATGAGAGAGCCCAACCACCCAGAACACAATTTCCGGTTCGGAATTTCTTTCCTTTCCGCCCGAAAACCGCCGACCGAGAACTGGCCGGTTTGAGTCGCGCTCACACTCTTCTCCGTGGCTACGTAGTTTTTTATGATTTAGACACAATCACCGAATATAATCAAAGTCGTGGGCCATTAAAGACACACGCCCAATTTTAAAAATGTAAAAAAAAATATTCTACTCATTTTTGTTACTCTTAAAAAGCTGCAGATACTTTGATTCAAAAAGAAAAAAAAAACGGTAGTAGTTGCACAGCCACGTGACTTCCGGCAACTCTCTCGTCTATATTTCTTCCTTCCCAGTCCAGTTTCGGTTTCGGTTTTGAGCAGGTGTGTTTATTGACTTTATTAAGATACACGTTACGCTGTAGCAAAATATTTGTGGGGTCTTCTTCTAACATCACAAAAATCGCCTGGCAAAAAAAAAATTGGGGGTGTCAGTGTTTTTTTTTTTTTAAAGGATACCAAACTTCCAAAAGTATTTTAAAAGGGGTACTGCGGCGATATTTTTAGCTGCCCATATTAACTATATTTTCTTAATACCTATCCTTTTTCCTTTCTGTCATTCTATCCTCCGAATTTTCAAATGTTATTGCGAAATCGGCAAAAGAGGGCGATGCCAAAACTTACATTCAAATATGCACACACTTTTCAGTATCATGACGTCACTGGCAGGCAGGCTTGCGGGTCAAGCTGGTCGCGCAGGAAGTTTCAGAAACAGAATATACCGCGTACTTGTTTCGTTCTGCTGCGCGAGTGCTCGAGCCACCTGCCCAAGCATTCCTTTAACATATTCAAACTCTTTGTAGCAACTTGGAAACAAAACTCTAACGTCCAAAGAGTGAACCCCTACCTGCCGCTGGTCACTGTCAGCAGTAGAGACTTTCTTTTTGAAAAAACAAAAAGTGAATGAGGACCAAAATTATAAATCCAATAAATTCTCCAAAAGACAATTAATGGGCCTAATATTTGGGTTTTTAGTTTAGCTGTGTTCATTGGAGAGTTGAGCCAATTTTGAGGCAAATCGGGAACCATGAAAAAAACGGCAGGAGTTGTAACTGCCGGCAGCAGGTACATCACAAAAGTGCACCGAGAAAAAAAAAATTAGCGCAGTATATTACGTCGCGAGAAACATTTTGATCCTCTCACTACACTCGCAGTTTGGGAGTGGATTTTTTTTTTTTTTTTAGAAAAGGCTCAAGCTAACCCTACTTTCCTGCCTCCAAAGTGTCACTTCCCCAACAGCTCGCTTGCGTACTTGCAATTTCTTTCCCGTCTGCTTGTCTTTCCCTCCATCCTTTCTTGTCAGCGCAAATACATGACTAGTACGTAAATTCATCGCACCCCTGGTGGTAATCATTCGTGCTCGTTGATTCAGAAAAAAAAAAAAAAGCGAACTTGGTGAAGCGAAATGTGCCATGCAGAGAAGGTACGCACTACGCCGCGTATAGCCACCACAATGACCGCTGATATGACGTCAGTAGAAGCCGCGCTTGCATGGCTTGAGGAGCATATACAGTTGCTCTAGAGTATACAGCTAATATATACAGTTACTCTAGCGTAGAGTAACCATAATTCTCCGCATTTTAGTTTCTCTGCATCGCTAGACAGCGTATATGCGTGAGTTCACGCGCTCCGCTGGTCCGTTTCATTTCGTTGAGCACTGCACGTGCTCAACGGCATGGCCACCACAATGGCCGCTGATGGGACGTCAATGCAAGCATGTTTGTACTGAATGAATTTCCCGGAACAGGGGTCAGCCATCGCACCTGTCGCCACACCAGTCACACCAGCAACAGCAACAGCAGCAGCAACAGGAGCAGCACCTGCTGCACCAGCAGCCACCGCACCAGCAGCCGCCTCTTCAGCGACCGGAGTGCGCGGCGTCTTCTGTCGAACCGTGTCCATCTTCAGAGCAGCGGCACGTCCTTCAGGACTGCGGCTCTGGACCCTGCTCGTCGGCATCCACGCCTCCGTACGCCAGGACGGCTCAGGTAAGGCACATGCAGCCCTCCGGCACTTACTACACTCATCCTGGTCCATGTAGACCATGTGCAAAAAGAATTACGATCCTCTGTACTTATGACCAATTATCAAGCTTCCGTCATATTGAAAGGCTCCTATAGTTTCATCCGAAAAACACTGGTCGCGGTCAAGTGGGAGTCATAAACCTAAAATATGATCCCGTACTGCCAATCCAGTCCCAACCCTTTACACAGCGTATCCAATAAAGGCCGTTCATTTACCTGGATGGCCCATTCCATTCCTTCGGTGACTAGTCTTGCTATCGCGTTGCTGGCAATCCATTCTCCGCAATCTCGCGGTCATCTTTCTTATTTTGTTGTACAGAAACTAAACACCAAATAGATTAAGAGTGAGGTGGAAGATCCTCCTACATCTTTCCGCTTTAGCAGAGTGAACGCTGGATAAGAAGTCGCCTCCTCTCAAGCTTTGAGAACATGATAGCGCTTCAAGACAGGGACTAGGGTAGGAACGAGACAGCACAATGCGCTAATCTCAACTGGTTTAATCGTCAGAAAATCAGGGGTATAAATATTCTGCATCATCGCGCCATTCAACCAATCCCATGCCACGCCAATGCTGGCAAGGTCTCTTTGTCGCCCAAATCGATCGACGCCACGCTGATACATCAATTCCCGTAGTTTTTTTTTTTTTTTTTTTTATCAGATTTGCCTCTATAATTTCCCTTACCGTCTTATCTCTATGTTTTTTAATAACAGGGCAGAAATTAAATTCAGGTTTGTACCCACAGTCATGGCCGTGCATTGAGAAATGACCGTAACGCTGTCCGCTCACTTTTTGGTTGTGTTTGCGTAATCCATCATTTAGACATCTCCCCGTCTGTCCCACGTACTTTTTGCCGCACGTCAGCGGGATCTGATAGACAACTCCTTCTGCGCATTGTACAAACGGGCTGCGATGCTTTTTCACGCAGCCAACCGGTGGTTTGCGGTAAAGGTCCGTCCGTTTGCACAACTTGGCAAGTTTTTCCGGTGCAGAAAAAAAACACGCGAGCATTTACGCGGTTTGCTATCTCTTTTGAGATTGTGCGCGGTTTTGTGCATGTAAGGCATCACCGCCACTCTTTGTTTCTTTTGGGCCATATGTTGATATTGACTCGCTACTACTCGTAGCCTCTATAAAACCCTTTCTGCAACCGACACCAGGAGCGTCCTCGGAAAATCGGCTGTCACCAAGCTTTCCGACTGTTCCTTTAGACCAGAAGACATCGCATGATGACACGACCTTCTGATGGCATTTACAGAGCGCAAATTTACAACTCCTCTCGTAACGAGTTTCGAACGGGGTGAATTGAACGGCAACAAGGGCTTATTAGCTCTCGGTTGGTATTCCAAACACACATGTTGCTCCGAAAGTGTGAGCCTGATATCTAAAAACTGTTTGACGTTGTCCACACGTACTTCGTGCGTAAGCTTGAGAGGATCTAGGACGTTACTAAAAACCGTGAAAAGGATGTTCACCGCCGAGGGGAAGTGAGAAACATCGTGGTTAAGAAAAACTAAATAATTGGCGACAAATCTAAAAACCTTGCTACCATGAAAGTCATTCAGGCGTTCCGAGAGAACTCTGTCATGATGGGCTAAAAATATCCCGCTCAAAATTGGAGCTAAACACGAGGCAACTACTCCTCGCTTCTGAATATACACTCCGTTGTTCCCGGTCAACAAAGGTCAAGTTTAGATAAAATGTACTGCAATTCGAGAAAGTCATCTACAGCCATTCCTGCCGCATTCTGCAACGCCACCACCCCGTGTTTATCGATGCTTTCTTCTACGCAGGTCTGTAGTTTGTCGTGCGGTAGGGAATAGTATAATTATTTGTGTCTAGTGAGCAGGCTAGGAAGCCTTTGTCCGCGTTAGCCTTTAAAAAATATATGACTTCATCCGAGCTTTTGACCTGAAACGGGTCGTCATTACAAATGCCTTTCAGCTTATCTTGCAGAAAGAGTGCTTTCAATTTCTGCCATGTGTCTCTCTCCGAAACTATCACTCTTAACGGGCAATCAACTTTATGCGTCTTAGCGCTCACCATCATCTGTAGGCACTCCCTTTTGGTTTTGTGAATACTCTGTGACAACATATTTATAATTTTAACCTCTTGCACAATTTTTTTCCCTCTGTCTTTAGCTTAGATAAAGACACCTTCTGACGGTGATTGAAAACTGTCGAAATAGCCGAAGGGCCTTACTCCCGAATTCTGCTTCCGTTAACACCACAAACCCTCCTTCCTTGTCGGCGGGAATGATAGACAATCGGCGCTCTTTCAATAGCGACACCACACGCTTAAATCCTGGGCCTCGCGGGTTTGGTGTTGTTCCTAGATAGCACGTCCACTCCCTCCGAGATACAACGTTCAACTTCGCCGTCTGGTGCGCACCTGGAGACTTGGCGGACCAGGCCCAAGAGTTCCGGAGCGTTCACGTTCGGCTCAACCGCAAACTTTGGCCCTAGAACAAGAACTCGTCTTACATTTTCTGGAAGCCACACGCCACTCACTGATTTGATGTCACACTTGGCCACTGGACGTCGCTTGGGCAAGGTGGCACGTAGACGATGCAATGATTGCTGCCTGAGGAGCTCTGTGGTCCTGTCCACGATGCCCCAAAATTCCCTGATACATCTGTTGTCCTGCAGGTGCTTGCTGGGGTCTCGAAAAACAGTACACAGTAAGCTTCTGTACAGTTCTGTCTCGTTCCTACTCTCGTCCCTTTCTTGAAGCGCTATCATGTTCTCAAAGTTTCAGTACCAACTCGCCCAAGAATCCGCATTACTCCTCTCAAGCGTCCGCTCTGCTAAAAGGGAAAGGGTGGGAAAAGCTTTCACTTCACTCTTAAGCTGTCACCGACTATAGTATAATGCAAATTGAGTTTAATGGAGATATGTCTCGTCCACAGTGGAAGATGGCAAAAACAATCCAACATAGCGGCTCCCAGTGTTGTGATAATAATAACTGACAGGACTTTTTTTTTTCTTTTTTTCTTTTTTTTTGCATATGGCTTATTGGTCGCGAGATTCGATCCTCGCGCACACGGCGATGAGAAAACGAACTACGCTCCGTGTGCAGCTTTGCGCACCAAGAATCCTGGAGACCATGCGTTTGCCTTAAAGGCTGACATATAGAATCAATCGCCTTCTGCCAGGACGAAAACCAGTTCCTAATCTCCTTCTCTCCATTTTTCTCTCGCACTCTTATCTCCTTTTCTGGAGCTCTGGGCTACTCTCCACAGAAGAGACGTTTCTCTCTTTCTCAAATGGAAAGTAGAAATTGAGGGAGATGTTTCCTCCTTTCTGGCTGCTCGTCGGTCTTTAACTCCTACCGGAGTAAAACGATGAGAGCAGTTTTCGAAACTAAGCTCATTCCCTTAGTTTTGACAGGAAGACAACTGTGAAAAAGAGAGCGAAAAGTACACGATATTCAAAACGTAAACAAACTGTCCCACAATAGAAGTCACTTAAGTTATTTCGTTGTTACCGATTATACCCAGCAAGACTACTACGGAACTCTTCATTTTTAATTATTAAAAAATGAAGTGAATAAAACTAAACGTATCATTACTCCGAACGCTAAATGCACACTCTGAAGGCCCGTTCACACTCTTGCGACCATCTATTGGGTGGCAGTGTAAACTTGGCGGTCCGGCATATTTTCTATTTCTCTCGCGCATTATCCTTTCTTTCTTGGCTCGAAAACTTTTTGTCCACGTTATAAGCGAGCCTTTCTTATAGGTATTACGAACATTTGACCTCGGAAATCCCGCAAAGCTTTCGCTCTAGTGAAATGCAGTTCCAGGGTCACCGCATAGATGGCGCCATCGTGCCAGTGTGTTCTCTCGTCCTAAGAAACGTTAAGGGGTTTTAACAAGTCGCGGTCTCTCTCTGTCGTACTCGGTTGAGAGTGTGAATTGGCCTTTAGAACTGCGTGCCTTGGAACCTCTTACAACGAAAGGGCACACTGGCGCCATCTATTGGGTAGCAGTGTAAACTTGGCGGTGCGGTATTTTTTCTATTTCTCTCGCACATTATCCTTTCTTTTTTGGCTCGAAAAACTTTTTTCAACGTTATAAACGAGCCTTTCTTATAGGTATTACGCACATTTGACATCGGAAATCCCGCAAAACCTTTGCTCTTATGAAATGCAGTTCCAGGGTCACCGCGTAGATGGCGCCAGAGTGTCAGTGTGTTCCCCCGTCCTAAGAAATTTTAAGAGGTTTCAGCAGGTCTCGTCTCTCTCGGTCGTACTCGGTTGCAAGAGTGTGAACGGGCCTTTAAATGAACCCCTTAGTAGTGACCAGTACCGTATCTGTTTTTTGTTTGTGTGATGCGTAGATTTTCGCAGAAACAATTCGTAGAACAGCCCATATCGAACATCTTATTAACGTGTTAAAAAGAGCAGCTTGTCTTTATGTTAGAAATCAGATATGCAGAGGTTAACCGCCTCGCTAATAAGTATATCCTTTAAGAAAATAAAAAAACTTACTAAAGAAAAGATGGAAGCAGCTGAAAAACGATCCAAGATGGAACTCAAAATTGCGAAACTAACTTCACGCGATAAGAGCTTGCTCACCCTAGCTCAGACTTGCACGGCACCCATTGCAAGTGATCAAATTGCTTGTAATCGATTAATTTTTAGTGATATTTGTAATCATTTCAAACATTTATTAAGAAGTAATAACAACAGCAATATGATTATTACCATTTCTAATGGCGTCCACTGTTCGAAGAAGTTTCCCACCAAAGAATTCTCAAACCAAATCTCCGACAGGCGGACGGTTTACCAACATTGGAGGATTAAGACGATAACTACAGGGTGTCTCAAATGGCGGCCAGGCTCTTTAAAAAGACCGCAAAACTCGGTTTCTTAGCCTATCGCGCTACGATTTTGTGCAGCTTTGCCCACAGGAGGTGCATTTTTTTCTAAAACAATTTGCAGAGAGAAAGCTTGCCTGAGGAAA